CCGGAGAGGTCACCTCCTCAGCTGCCCTCCCACCGGGAGCAATTACCCAGCGGTTTCCATGACAACCGGCAGGCCTGCTGCCACCGCCTGTGTTCTGAGGCTGAGAGGGAGGGCAGATAAAGCATAGCGATGCGCCAGCCTTAAATAATACATTTTCGTCTGCTAAACATCCCCAAACTTGTCATTACGCGTTACCCTGTCAAAGTTCCTACCTATCACACAACAACGACAACACAGCAACACAGCTGTGTTGTCGTTGTCTTCCACACAGAGTTGAGCTGCTGTGGCAACGCTGTGTACACAGGTCAGCTAAAAGGTAGAAGGCATTACTCATCGTTTTTGAAAGGTCTGACTACTAACCTTTAGATAACCTTCAGGGAATGCTCCCTGGAGATTCTGTAGACGTTATACATATTTTTGAAAGGTTTTTAGAATGATAAAGCCATGGGCAGCTTTTAGGGACGGTCCTGTGAAGCTGACCTGTCTGCTTGGTAATGATGTTGAAGTTGGATGGTCAGTGAGTCAACGTGATCCTGTTTCCAACGGTCACTCCAATCAAAGCTGCTCAGAGGGCTTTAAAAACTACACATGCAACATCCCTCTGTCCCGAAACCCTGACGTCGGCTCAGGAAAAACTCCCTAGCAAGAAATGAATGTAGAAGAAAGCTGAGGGCGAGAAGCGGAGTGATCCATCAGATGGGACAGAAGTGCACAAGATATCATGTGATAATGTAAAAGATTTACAATTCAGTCAATCCGTACCATAATGTGAAAATATCCCTCACCAAATACTTAGACACTGATATTGCAACGACGTAGTAGGGTTGACAATCCTGGTATTACTGGTATCCTTATATCCAATATCTGAAATGTTGTCTAGATCATCTTATGATTATCACAATATGAATATAATTTGGGTATATTGCCGAGCCCTGGATGAAGGCGGTGATATGTAATAAATTGTTAACTATATGTTCTGTCTTTAAACTTACTAATAATATAACTAATAATAACTAACTAACAAAAATGATCCAACATTATAAAAACAATGAAAAACCTTCAATTGGATTAATTCTGTTTTTTTATGTGTTGTTAATTTTAGTCTTTAAATTTCTTAAATATTTCCAGCCAAACCATGATGTATTTTCAGTTTACACATCACGTGTGAGAAAACACAGTTGACAGTGTGTGTGTGCGTGTGTATAAAGCATTTTACTCACAGCACTGTATAATCATAATTACACCCCTTGATACATATACTCTATTACAACAATAATCACTTTAAAATGTTTTATTATGCATTATACACACCGGCCGTTACCATCCTATTAAACTAATTAAAAATAACAGAAGATGTTGTAAAAAATATAAATAGATGTTATTATAATGTATGATAAAAAGATTGTAATGTATCACAACAATGTGAATTATAAATGATCCTTGTAAAGCATGAATACTTTTTATGAATGTTTATATGTGCAAGTATTTAATTACCAGTGCATTTTAAGTGTCTTCATAATGCACTTTACACATGGCCGTGTTACGTTTAGATTTAATAGACAATTGTCTACTTTAATTGTAGACTGCACTCGTGTTACAATGAAGACTCCTGCTCTGTTACAGGTTGAAAAAAAAGATTTAAAAAAAGCTACTCAGTCGTTTTTGCCTGATGACAGAAGGTGAGTGAGCGCCGTCTCACCACAGTACCGACGCCACGCTGCCTTTAGACTCCTTTAAGGATTTATATAAATAAGATAAGATGTACTTCATTTTAAGTGTGGTATGTCAAGACATAATGTGACACGTGCGTGTGTGAGCCATGAACTCTGTCTATACAAATTGTGGCCGTATAGGTGACATCGCCATTTGGTTTGTTGACAGCGTTTTTGGGCCAATTTCTTTTACATAAAGTGTCTTTACAGTGGAACTAAAGACAACCCAAAGCTGACCATTACAATTTTAGGCAACACAATGTTACAATTCCCTCTCAAGAAAGGAGTTTAAGTTTAGACAACCAGAGGAGGAATCAAATCCCATTCTAAATATAAAATGCAAATGGAAAAAAAATAGTTAAATAGAAATTTCTTCTTTGTGCTTGCACGGTAACTACCATTTCCTTTTCTAAATGACCTCTTCCCTGTATTTTGCAACAAGTACTAATTTCTGAATGAGACTGAGCAGTGTTTTCTCCACTGACCTTAAATGAAAATGAATTATGCACAGAGCTCCATGCTAAAAGAGGAATAATAAAACAAAAGCAAGTTGTACATCCACGCATCATTTTCCCTCTGCAACAACACGCCTGTGTTTATTACATTACTTCAGCCAATTGAATAAGCATATTAACGTAATAAAAAAAACATTGTCGTGATATGATACTAGTAAACACTTAAAGACCACAAGCCTTTAAATCCATGTTTATTACATTCTAACTACCATCTCGTCATCCTGGCACTCTAGTCAGGAAGGAAAAATCTTTTTTCTTTTTTCTTTCTTCACTTTGTCAGATTTCTCTCTCATGCATGTAATGTCATGTGGAATTACTTGTACGTGGCATAAAGCCTGTATTGACATTGGCTAGTATTACTTTTGACAAGATCATATCCTGTCTTATAATTCTCATAGTTGGCATATTTTATTATCTTCTTACACCGCATTACAATAACTGTTCATAATGCATTATAAATACCTTTTATAACACATCACTATCACAACCTTTTTGCACTGTATATTACTGTATATTATGCTCATGAATATTCATAACGCTTCGTAACAATAACCGCAAACCTTTGTAAAGCATTTTATAATGACCGCAAGTCAAGTATCATAATACTTCTTGGAAATGGATTATAATGCCTGCTACGACGCAATTTTATGGGATCATAAATGAGTTGCTGAAGACACTGTATAATTCATTCTCCATAGAATGAGTGTGATGAACATTGAGGCCTCTAGGGGCCACTGCCGCTGCGGCCCCGGTGCCCTTTTGGGGGGAAAATGTGGAATTCTGAACCTCTGATCAGACGAGAACTTATAAAGAGTCAACTGGCTCGAGTTTAAAAATGATCAAGAATTTAATGACTAACAGTAAGTAATAAGCAATACAGTTACAAAGTAAAATAAAGTATGAATAGTATATTATTATTTTGCGAAACAGAGAAGTCCCCTCGTCCAGTCTCATATGACCATCAAATTGCTTCACAGGAGGCTTCTTTCTGCCTCTTCTCCAACTCTTTCAATCTCCCGGGGGGGCGTGTCCCTCGTGCTGCCGCCGTATGTGATTGGCTGCACATTCGAGCTCAGCTCCTCCCTCGTGAATTGCTTTCTGCTCCAAAGCATCACATGACTCCCTGCTGGCTCCATCTGATGGTCGAATCTGAAATCCCTCACTGACCTGACCAGTCCGTGTTCACTTATTACGACAGGACATTCAATGATCGCACCTTTGGCTTAAAGCTTCATCATGTAACCATAACATAGCCTGCATAATAACATCTGATTTCATCACATCTTAACCATTGTGTTAAAATCACAACGTTTGCCTCGCATGGCTGCTGTTCATCCTTTGCTCATTCACTACCTGACAGGAGAAAAAAACCTCTTTGGGGATAAAATTGGGAGAAAAGGACGGCAACTAGCATCCGTCCCCAGGTTTTAACATCACATCGTGACAGGATGTTTATGTGTACAGTAATTATATGACTTGAAATATTTAAAGATTTATTAATTGTGTTTGATTCATATTGCAATTATTTCATCTAACATGCTAATGTAATAACTAATAACACACAAACTACAAATCTATCACTGAACATCACTACATGTATTATACTTTCTACTACTAGGTGCGCTCTACTGCTTAAATCCGTAACAATAATCGTGCTGAGAAACGAAATCTGCTGTCTTCTGAAATGGCAGTTTAGTGAGTTTAATGAAGTGGCTGCAGCACACGGTGCTGTTGATGCTGACGCTGCGTTGATGAGTGGGAGCAGCCAGGGGCCTGATGGAGGCACATGCAGGTGTTATGTGTGCACATGTGACCGCGCTGACACGGCGAAGTCAGGTTGCAGTTTGACACATTAAGGCTTGTTTTTGCCGATTGTAGAATGCCACAGGATTGTCCTCATTTTGGCAGCTATGGTTCCTTCGTCTCAAAATACATTTTTAGTTTCTTTCTTGATCAGATGCCTGAAGTACGGCCCGTGGTTAACATAAGCTAGAAAGCTTTTCAGAAAGGTTTTGTTCTACCACATGAGATACTTCAGTCAGAGCTGCTATCCTGGCTGCTAACAAGTGGTTTAATATGTCACAACCAACTTTAGCTCCGGGGACACGAACTCATGTGACTGGGCTTTAGCTTGTTTGTAGCCCAACGTTAGCTTCTTGTTCGACGATGGCCTTCACGCTTCAAAAATTGTAAAAGTCTTGCTGAAAACGTATCTGTGATCATCTAAAATACAACGGAAAAGTAATTTTCTTTTTGTTGAGTGAACCACTGCAATGTTGCATCACAAAATCCCTCTTTAGTTTTTGTAGATTTTTGCTTTTTTTTTACGTGGATAAACAAAAGTCAGAGAGGAAAGTTCTTTTCTTCAGCCTTTTAGGGATTTTTAGTACCTGAAAATGTATCTTCTTTCAATTCAAGTTATTATTATTTCTTATGAGAGCCATGTGGGCTTATCTGGCCAGGACACGTATGCCGCCTTCATTGACACGCTCAATTCAAGTCCAATTCTAGTGCAAACTGCTCCAAAAAAGAGGCTATAGAATACAAATGGCTAAAAGGCTAACAGGTTATGGGTTATAGGTTATGGGGTTAGGATGCCAGCTACATTATTCCATTCTGTAGTGAAACTTCCAGCTCCCCCTATTTTGCAAGAAATCCACAAATCTGTGCCAGACTCTGGTGTGAGCATGAACCAGACATTTCACTCATACCGTAACTCAGTCTCCTTACTCACGTTGTCTCCCTTTCTCTCTGCCTCTTTCCCTCTACCCAGCAGCCCTGACCTCTCAGCCCTTTCTACTAAGTCGTTCAACTCACCGGAACCAGGCAGCCATGAACCCCCAGGAGACAGAGCTCGGCCAGGAGGTCACGGAGGAGGCCGATGCGCCGCATCGCCATCGTCACAATAACCACAGCGGCCGCTCCCGTAACCACAGCAGCCAGGAAAAGCGCTACAGACGCGTTGAAGCCCCTGCTGGAGGCAGCGCCGGCAGCAGAGCGAGGGTTCCCCAGCAGCGCAGGCCGCAGGAGGAGCAGGATGTGGAGGTGCAACAAGGGGCTCAGGGGTCTCCGCAGCCCCGGCAGCCCATTCCCCGACCCGCGGTGACGCGTTACCGCCGACAGGGGGACAGCGAGGCCCGGATCAGAGCCCAGCAGCAGAGGCACAGACAGAGGCAGCAGAGGGAGGCGGAGAGGGCTCAACAGCTGGCACGGCAACAGGAGAAGCAGCACCGCGCTGAGATGAGCCGGGAAGACGAACGAGAGAGAGACGACTCGGTGCTCGCCCGCTCAGCGAGCACCGAGAGCGGCTTCCACACTCACACCGACCGGGCAGAGGGGGACGATGGCCTGGTGATCATGTCTCACGAGCCGGAGGGGCAGCCGGAGGTTGAGGACGAGGCGGGGGACTACGCGGTCCAGCTGCGGCCGGAGGCGGAGGGCTACACTGAGAGTGCCGAGGCTGAACAGCAGCACCTCCATCTACACCCTAACCATCCTCCTCAGGCCGCGCCACGTGAACCCCTGCCTGACATCCAGGACCTGCACAGGCCGGCCGAAGCAGAGGAGATGCTGAGCGCTGGCTACTCCAACTACGTCTACACCACCGGAGGAAGGGCAGAGGTGTCCGCCGGCCAGAGCTTGGAGAGTTTAGATGGCGCCCTGGCGGACGAAGCCTACTCCGATCCGTACGACATTTACTCTCTCTCAGAGCACGTTTACGAGGAAATCCGCGACGCTCCCGCGTCAGTTTCGTCTGCCGCAGGCGAGGACACTGAGTCACTCAGACAGAGGCGCGCCGGCTTTCAGCTGCTGGAAGGCCGGTCGGGAGACGGGGACTACCATCAACAGGAGGCGGTGGGTTCCCGTCTCCGTCACTATGACGAGCGCTCCGATGGAGAGTCGGACAGCCCGGAGAAGGAGGCCGAGTTTGCCCCGTACCCGCGCGCCGACAGCTGTGACCGCGAGGAGGACATCGACAGCATCGTGGCGGAGGTCAAAGAAAGCCTGAGCTCTCAGAGTCTCCACCGTGCTCTGGAGGACACCATAGATGAAGAGAATGAGCGTCAGCAGGGTGAAGAAGTTACCCCAAGACACGAGTGCCAAACTGACTCAGACAGAAACCACAAATCATCCAGCCCAGCGAAGCCAGCCGGCAAAGAGGCCGCGAGCCCCTCAGAGGAGCTTGTAGCAGTGAGGAACAGTCAGGAGAAGAGGGACGCCATATCCCTGGCCATCAAGGACATTAAGGAGGCCATAGAGGAGGTGAAGACCAGAACGGTGAGATCTCCATACACACCGGATGAGCCCAAGGAACCCATTTGGGTAATGAGGCAGGACCTGAGCCCCACTGCAGAGTGTGACCTGACGCCATCGCTGGGGGGTGATGTAAGTACGGCAGCTTGGGCTATTACCGATCACGTTGTGTTGGATGTTCTGTCGTCTTCGGTGGCATCACAGTGGTACGATTGGGCCAAAAGACTGGAACACTTGTTCCATCAACAGTATCCGCCACGCGGGACAAATCGTCACAACAAATCACAGTCAGTGACCGTTAAACAACCAAACCAAACTGGCCTTTTAAGGCTTTAAGGCAGAGGTCTTCAACAGGGTGTCCGCGACCCCCAAGGGGTCCGCGAAGGTACTGCAGGGGGGTCGCAAAATTTTTGGTTAATAAGACAATTTTTTAAAAACATTTTTTTCCCCCACAAATGTCAATGTCTTCAGAATCAGAATTGTATTTATGTTCTTTAAATACACATTAACATGAATCCAACATATTGAAGCGAACGGATAAATTGATGGAGAAGACGTCATCTGTCAGTCCGCAACACACACATCCAGCTTCCCTCAGCAGCTCTCAAGCTGGGCGCCGGTTCACTCACTGCTCCTTTCATGCGAGTACGACAGCGCAGGCACCAGCCAATCAGATCGCCTTTATGCTCACGTCTAAAGAGCGTGAAGCTCGAAAATAAAAGATGGCGGACCAAACTCCGTAGAATAGGGGGTCCCTGCTCCACCTCGCCATCAGTTTGGGGGACCTTGGCTTGAAAAACATTGAAGACCTCTGCTTTAAGTGATATCAAACCCCTGAAAATGATGCTGATTATTTCAATGGCCCCCTGTGTTTCCTTGAGTTCCTAAACTAAGCTTCTCTCACGCCTCCACAGTGAAAGGGAAATTGAACTGAAGTAAATTGGGGCAGCGTTAACACGTCTGCACCAACAAATAGCACACCTTCGCGCGAGACTGCGATATCTCACTTAGCCAACAGACAGTAGCCCAAAGCAACATACACGCCTTCTGAGCCATTAACACCCTCTGCTAGGTTTCGCTGGCTCCCTGTTAACATTTAGGACGCTGCTAGATTGGGCCTTCAAATCGAGAAGCTAGATTTTATCTCGTTCATCTCGGTTTGCAGACATAATCCATCGATACGTTCTGAGTGTTGTTAATCTTAGTTTATTTGTTACATATAATGTTTTGTTCCCAGTGGAACCAACTCTCTCAACCCGTTCGCTCTCCGCTCAACGCCTACTGTCAGTTGTTTCCCAATCACCGATATAGGTGCGCACAGGACCCAGCACCAGCGCCACCCAGTGTACAGAATAAAATAAAGACATTTGATGTGAACATTTGGCTCCTGCACTGGTAAAAGCTTTGTTTTTATTTATTCAAACCATACTGCAGCTGGAGAAAGCATCCGTTTTATTCCAGTTATTTTAAATAAATTCTTATGGATAGTTTCAATCCGCTTGGGCCGGAACTCCATCCAGCAGCTTTGGGATCATGCGGCAATGCGCACTGCAGGCCGGGCCTCATCATTAGGGCTTTATCCACGCTAGTGAATGCCAAACATTAAAGCCATTATTATTTCTTCACATTGAGGCCCATCCGCCTCGACTCAGTAACCCTCACGTCTTCATAGGGCCGCCCAGTCGTTTGGGCAGTATGTTCCTTCTCATCGGCCATTGTTCTCGGCCTGAATAGAGATCGCATCCATTTGGTATTCGCATCCCTTCTCTTGTCTCCCCCTCCTTCCCGATGATTTATTCAGTGAGGGTGAGAGAGAGAGAAATAGGTAAAGGGCAAGGCGAGGCCTGAATAATTCACGCAGTATCCGATAACAGAATGACATCGGCTGTTTTTCTGTTTGGATCACTGCGATCGCTCCACCTTCCAGCGCTTCTGCTTTAAACTTCACCTTCTGACCGATGCGTCCTCAGCATTAAGCGTAAATTCATTTGACGGATGAAGACAAAAAGTCCCGCCGCCAAAGCGCATTCAAGGCCGATGCACAGAGAGACGCCGGGACTCGGCCTGTTGACTGCCCGACTGAGCCCGGTCACCTGAGCAGGTCACCTGAGCCGCTGAGTCCCGGTCCGTACGCAACCGCTGTTGCATTTTAAGCCTTCGCCCCAAACGCCAGTCCGTCCGTGGCTTCTCGCCGTTGGCTTCAGCCGGGTTCCCGTGCACTCGCTGAAAGCCATGGAAAACTATTGGATGTATCAGGTGGAGAAGCTGGAGGAGGAACAAGCCAAGCAGAAGCAGCAGACGGAGCAGCGGGATGGAGACGAGGTGTGGGCAGGCGGAGGAGTTTCTCCTGTGTTTCTTTTACATTGGCGTGTTGAAGTGATGTATTTCTAGCAGTGGTGGAACCAATTGTCACTTGTGTGTGTAGAGGGTTCTTCATCACACGCAATGACCTGATTGTAAGACCTCTCATCTCCTTTGAAAGCTTATTTGAGGATTCAACAAGAAGTTTTCTTTGTTTGTCAACGCACGGCATTCTTCCAACTGAGATATTGTTGGTCTCAGCCGATAGAAAGGACTTTATAATAATGCACCTGTGGAAGCCTGCGATAACAACAGGGGAGGAAATACTGTTCTGATCTTTTAGTTCAGACAAATAAATCCACACTATGAGGATTAAAAGTCACAAACTGCATTTTATACCGGCCTAATGACTTAATTACATTCATATTACGATGCAGCCCGTCATCACTCCCAAGTCCACTAATGCACGATGGTTCCCCTTCGCCTCCGTGTGAGACACACGGGACCTGCAAAAGATCCCAATGTAAAACCATTTGCTTCATTATTAGAAAGTAGCAACTGACGTATGAAGAGTAAGAAGATCCACTGAGGGAGGACGTCATGGATCGTTGGGTCAAACTAACACAGCACTTACTTATACAATACATTAAATAATACATGTCTTACGTATCAATACGTTTCCTGTGATTGTTTTAAAAGACAGAATAATTACAACGCTAAACATTTTATTCACAATATGAAAGGATCATAACTACTGTTAAAGGAATAATAATATGTATACATTTTGAAATAATCCAGACATCAAAAATCCTCTGGGACACAAAATAAAATAAAAAAAAATTCACCTTCTTCGTTTTTGCAGTTATGGCGTCTGTGTTTTGACAATGTCCCACTCAGAGGTCATGTGTTGGGATCTTGTGCAGGTCTGCATTTTGTATTATGGTTTTCTTACCCATTCCCACTCTGAGCCGAGGTGAGATGTGTCGCTGATGCTCTTTCGCAATGATACAAGTATTCTGCCGTATTCTTGTCTTTTACACCTGCGCACAGGTCCGTTAATCACTGTGAGTTCACATCACGCCGACGAGCACGGGCCCAGCGTGTCCTCGGGTGCGCAGTTAAAAAAATTCAAATTACAACTCTGTAGCCTTGAGTTTTCTCATCATCTTTCCTTAATTTGACGTTGCTTTTGCCCAGAAGTTTTTTTTCAATTCTGTACTTTTGTCTTTGTTTGTTTCTGCCTGCAGTCCCCGGGGTCGAGCTCGCCCTCCCCGCCAGGAGCCGAGTCATCCACTAGACATCTGCTGCAAGAAGACAGCTTTGAATCTTCCCCCTCTAGTAAAGAGGTGCGTGTCTCTTTTTTACTCCACATTAGATATTCTAGTCCGATCCTCACTTTGGCGCAAAAAATGAAAGAAATCCCTCTGCTCTCTTTTTTTTTCGCGAATAGTCCCGGAGAAGCCTCGCGTCCTTCCCCACGTATGTGGAAGGTGAGTGCTCCCTAACCTGGGAGCGGGAGGGGAGGCGTGCAGGGAGGTGAAACACACGGTCTGTGACACATCTTTAGTATTTGCAGCCAGAGTAAAGCACGTAGGAGGCCTCCATGGAACTGCACCCTGCTTTCTGCACGCCAGAGGGCACTTTATCAAGCTTCTCCAAAGTCGGAGGTCGTGCTGCATTTCTTCCCAACTTACTAAACGGGGCATAAAGTTTCCACTTCTAGGATTTCTTACCTGGAAATACAGTTGCTTTTTCCTCTTGCTCTTAATGGTGATAATACTTCATTGTTGGTTCCTGGACGTTATAACGTCTCTGTAGTAACTGGAAGATGCAAAAACACTAGTTTCCTTATTAGTCTTTTGGTTATTTTTTATTAGATGCAAAGCGCTGGAAATATTTCCAGGAAAAAATATCAATGACTTAATATTGAAGGCCATACTTTGAAACAAGGCTGTGTGTAAAAACTAAATTAGGGCTGGTAAATGCTTTAGGGGAGACACTTCAGGGTTCACCTATTTCCCCAGTTGATTACTAACAATAAAACTAACTTTTTTCTTTCACGAGATAAAGAAAGAAAAACCTAACGATGAAAGAGACAAAGTATTGAAATAAAAACCTAAACGTGTTTTGGAGATATTTTTCTTTCCGCTGGTCTGAAAAGCCTGAAAGAACCAAACTGTCAAAATGTGTTGGTGCATTAAGAAAATAATGTTATTTTTGTGTTAGAAACAACACATGTTTACTGTTAACTCTGAGGTTACACTACCTCACAGCACCACATGCACCTTTTCTAAGGTCGTGCTACCAGGGTCATTATCCGGACCACCAGCTTTTTGCGTCTCACAGACGAGCTTCTGGCAAACCGAGTAGCGTCATTGGCGAATGTGTGTTGTCCTTTTAACCTTGGCCTGGCCTAACCCGCCAGTGTCGAGTACGTTGAAGCAGATTCCTCAACGTTTCCATAGTAACACACGGCTTACTGAACTGCACTGTTGATCTATGCCTGTCCTAAATGCTGCGTCAGCATCTCCTAAATGTCAAGGCACTGAGTTGCAAATGAAGATGGAAGAGGGGGAGAGAAGAGCGGAGGAAAGATGCAGAGATTCCAGTTCCACCACTCACAGAAGCATCAGTGCATTCAATCATGGACACGCACACACAGACACACACAAACGCACGTGCCCCCCTGCTCTGATGATGAGAACCTGGCGGTATAGAAACACGTTGCAGATTTCACTGTGCGTGAGTCTCACAATTCTCTCACTTTTAGACACGTCTCCATGGTAACCACTGTGTGATGAGACATACTTTGTTCCGGGCAAAAACCTTTCTCCTCTATTCTTCATAAGTTAACGCTAGAAAATCAGCGGTTCAATGGTTAAACGTAAAATGTGAGAAAACTCCAAAAATGACTCCGTGTCAGTAATCAGCCGGGGACGTTTCATGTTGATATCCATGATCCTTCGGTAAAACCTTTCACTCTAATGACAAAATGGAACAAGATACTGGCTTTTAATGGCTTTATCCAATATTGAAATGTACCTTCTGAGAACGTATGTAAATGATCTCGTATTGGATTAATTTAATTTTGAATATTAAATGAGGTATTTAGTATGATGTACTCGCTTAATACCAAAATGTAATTATCTAGCCTAAAGAACTAGGGAACTTTTCTTTTTATTGCATTCATCCTATATTGACCAGTCGTGTCTCCCTGTACGCGTTTAAAGTGTAGTTTATGCTTCAGTAAATAATCTCTCAATGCTTTTTAGATCAGTAATAAACCAGTAATAAGAACTTCAGCCAGACTGCAAAAAGTCCACATTCAAAAGATATTAGAATGTATTCTTTGGGCTTTATTTAACTCTCACTCTATATCCATGTTTATAATAATGTATGACAGCAAAGAAGAGCCTTTATGAAATAAATGGTGGACACAATGTTTAATGATCACACACATGTTAACATCAATCGTCGTACACACAGAGAACTCGTCCATTGTATCATGACAGAATGTAAATCCTGTCATATACTGAGACTGAACCGCCCTCCTCCCCTCCAGTCCCAGGCCCGTGTGACCCGGAGGACCTGATCGACGGGATCATCTTCGCAGCCAACTACCTGGGCTCCACCCAGCTGCTGTCCGATAAGACCCCGTCCAAGAACATCCGCATGATGCAGGCGCAGGAGGCCGTCAGCCGCATCAAGGTGAAAACACACAGTGAGCTCAGCGCTCTGCATTGTGACCATCTGCCGTCATCCACTCGTTTTCCAAGACCCCCCCGATTGTCTTATTTCCCATCAGATGAATTATGGCTCACAGTAAAGCAGGAGGCCTCTGCAGCGGTAATAAAGATAATCCTATAACACATTTAATGTCTCTCAGCTTCCAAATTATCAGCAGATATTTTAGTATTTGTTATAACTGGATAAGGTCAAACTCCAGCAGCACTCATAGTATACCAAGGGGTATTATTGGACCGGCACGCCTCATCGAGGTCATCCTTAAGGCTACAACCAGAATGTGGGTTTGTGCACCGTAGAGATATTCTGTGGGGGAAGAAGCTGCTCTCTGAAACATGAGAAAAATGACTCTTAATTGGTTCACTCCCCCAACAAACATTGTCAACGCCTGTTTACTTAAACTCGGGTTATCTTTACTAAACCCTCCGTAAGATGCCAAACTCCAAAACCACCAACCATCGTTGAGTGTTAGCTAGAGCCGTTGTTTTCATCCATTTTCCTTTTCGCCGCCTTCTTCAGGGCCTTTCTGCTCCACCTGTAGATCGGTGGAGGAGTGTGACCACGTTGGCAGGAATGTGTATCGTACCGCCTGCGTACACGCGCGTGCATGTTCACCCTCTCATAGCGGCACTGACAGAGGTAACCGCGGCTAGCATCACATTGAGCGCTGCGTTTCCATGGTAATGTCCACGACAGTCTTTCTTCCTTCCCTTTGTTATTGCAAGTCGTGGGTTGAATACTGATTTTTTTTATTTCAAATGATTTCAGGGGGCAAAGCCTTCAAATTTGAGGCATATTTCATATTATTATGGTGCCTTGTTAATGCTGGCTGGCATTATATATTGTAGTTTGAAAGGTGGAGCCTTACAGCCCACTTTATCACTGCGTGTGCAATACTACACTACTTCTCTTTTTAACATACAATGTTACAAGGGATTTGTAATTGCTGATGTTGCTCACAACAGCCTCATTTTTCAATAGCTACATTATTTCTAATGCTCCTTCTTTCACACGCATGTTCCCACTTGGCAACATCTTGCATGTTCATTTCTGTCTCTAAACCAAGATGAGATTCCAGTTTCCCCACTTACAGAAGCATCAGTGCATTCAATCATGGACACACACACAGACACACACAGACACACGTGCCCCCCTGCTCTGATCATGAGAACCTGGCCGTATAGAAACAGATTTCACTGTTCTCACAATTCTCTCACTTTTAGACACGTCTCCGTGGTAACCGCTGTGTGATGAGACATACAAACCTCCTCTATTCTTCAAAAGTTAACACTAGATAATGCTTCAATAGTTAAACGGAAAATTTGAGAAAACTTGTATTATCCAAAAATGACTCCGTGTCAGTAATCAGCCGGGGACGTTTCATGTTGATATCCATGATCCTTCGGTAAAACATTTCACTCTAATGACAAAATGGAACAAGATACTGGCTTTTGATGGCTTTATCCAATATTGAAATGTACCTTCTGAGAACGTATGTAAGTTATCACATATTGGATTAATTTGACATCCTGCAGGTCCATTTCTGTCTCTAAACCAATGACTCTATTGTTAGATCTTTACAAAACACTGAAACCTGATTGTGGGGCCAAAGGGGAAAATAAAGTATTCATCCTTCAGCCTTGATGGCCGAACTATTCTTAACACATCCGGCAAAAATCTAGGTATCATTTTTTACTCTTAACTTTCGTTCTTCTTCACTTTCTTGCATCTCTATTGACATGTTTTCTTAATAAAGTCACAAGCAAGCTGTGTCATTTGTGCGTTCATCTCCTCAGGATGAGTAATTAATTTGTCCCTTGATACAGGAACCAAAAAACAAACAAACACAGATTCTGTCTTTGCTTCTCTGGCTGCCAGTTTCATTCAGGCCTATTCAGGCTTATTGCCCCGAACTCTAGCACGATCCTGCCTGTACACAAAGTACCAAACCACACAAAGATCACACTAACTAGCCCGTCCATGTGGGGTCCCGGCTGGTGTGATCCCCATCGCAAGATGTTTTTAAAATAACCAATGACTAAAGATTAATTAGAAGAGGTGAGATGTTTCCCTTTAAATGTAATTCAAACATATCTCTAAAACCTCTATGTCCCTTACTATTTATTTTTTGTTCTATTTTAATGTATTATGTTATTTATATATATATATATTTATTTGTCATAGATTTCTCTCTCTGATTTTGTTTCATTTACTGTATATTATGCAGGTGAATTCTTGATATGTGTCAATATATTTTAAATGTTCATATATTCTGGCATCTTAGATAACCTATATTGTTCTGCGATAAACAGGAACCACCACAGCAGCCAGGAAAACCACCACATGACGTCATAATCATTTCTTCATGGTGAAGCCCCAGGTTGTGTTGTATGAGTGGTAGAAAGCACATTAAACAGTTAAACAGTCTCAAATAGCCTACAAAAAATATTGTCATCCCTCCAATGACTTAATCTACCAAAATAAAACATTTTCTGTATTTTTGTAATACTAATTACTAACTTGCCCACGTGAGATGACCTTGACATTTTGAAGTTGTGCCCAAAAACAAAGGTTTCATGCTGGACTGAGCAGAGTTGACCGGCTTGACGTGTGTGATGATATTATATAGAGCACACATTCAGAAGGATTCCTCCCTGAGATGTCCAGCAACTAGACCGCTCTTTTCTAAACATATGAAGTGTGATCGTCTGACCGGCGTTAAACATCGCCCAGGTCCGTCCTCGTGCAGCCGGTCCACGGAGCCCGAGGCCCAGGAGACTGAGAGTCAGCGCCTCGCTCCGTCCTGAAGCCGAATACAACAGAGACACCTGCTGGTACCGGAAGGACAATGCAAATGTCTTCATACTGCCGTCCATGGCGGCGCATCCAGAGGCTCCTTCCTGCTGCAGGAGGAGAGCATGTGCTCTGGAGCATGGCGTGTGGGCAGGAAGCGCTCTGCAGCCTGAGCGTGAGGACAGTTAGACTCCGCTTGTCTCACCTGATGTGTCCTCGGGCAAGACATATGTGACAATATGTGAATGGGACCACGTACAGTGTGTGCTCTCTATTCTAGTACAGACCATTGGTCACAGCTTAATATCATACAGGGAGTGATACCAAAAAGTGCCACAGAAAGCGAAACCACTTCGTGCCTTCACATGGAAGGAAATGTAAAGATGTTATTATTGTTTTATTTATATACATACATATACGTATATGTATGTGTGTATATATACTGACTTCTGGCATGGATTCTTGGGATGTCCATCACACACAAATACACAACGACCACACAAACGACACGAGTGGGACTATTCGATGTGAACCCACTGGACGCCCCGTCCCCGTCTCTCTTGTACACCAGTCTAACCCTTGACTCTCCTGTGTGCTTTATTTCATGCCTGGCAGACGGCCCAGAAATTAGCCCACAACAGGAAGAAGGTGCAGTACCTACGTATCCCGTCTCCTCGCTCCACACCGCAGAGCACAGCGCCTGTCTTTCCTCTGCTTGGCTCTTTGTCTCCGTCCACGTCTGTCTGTGAATCACTGCCCCCCCCATCCCCTATGTGTCCCCTCTGTGTCCCCCTCGGCGTGCTGCCATTCTGACCCACTGTTGTCCTTTTCCTGAATCCAGCTTTTTATATTGTTGGGGTATATATTCATTCCATCTTTGGAACTTTTTTTTTTTCAACAACTTTTATTTTGTGAACTTGTTGTGGCTGAAATGCATTTTGCTGGATGCAGGAAACACGTGAGACACTGTGGGGTTTACACCGGGTCTGTGGCTGTATTCCGTGTGCTTTGCCCCTCTGCTGCGATCCTGTTTGTAGTGATACCGTGTATGATACTAACATACACTCCCTTGTTTGCTAACCAACCTAGTCAGGTGACAAACAGTTGGCTCGGCTTGTCAAAATAAGAGCCTCCGGCGATGCTAGTGGCGTAATTAGGCTACTAACTAAAAGCTAATCTTCACCTGGTGATGAACTGTTCCGTTTGACATGGCTCACTAGTGCTTTATTTCATACACTGCTTTGCACGTCCACATAGTGTTTTATTAGTACAATATGTGCGAGTGAACAAAAGCATTGACATCAGGGGTTTTTAGAAACATACCATGCCAACATATATGAAATGTGCAGCTAATGGAAGGTTTTCCATTTAAAGCCTTTGACCGCCCTGCAAAGTGCCATTCCAGTGGTTGTGACTTTCCAATAGCAAATAGCAGACAGGAAATCCGCCTTTAGGAACTTCAGAATCCAAAGACCGTCAAGTCATTTTGGTAACATGTCTGAACTCTCATCTCATGCCAGGGTCAACAAGCACAGCACTTTAATCAGGGAGACGGCTGTGTATGTTCCATGTGAATCCATCTGAATGTTGATTTATTTAAAGCTATACTGACCCAAACCACATTCCCCCAAAGCCTTTTTTTGCCTTAACATAACTACATAAATTTAAAGTTTATTTTTCTTAAGGGCAATACATATACATGCAGAGACTGACAGTCCATCCCTCCCCCATTGAAAAACTCACACGAGCACATTCGCCAGATGACTGGGATTTGTTTCGCCACATAGATATACTATGCTGCTGTCAGTTCGAGTGCACGTGTCACTGTTGCAGATATCTGATGAGAACAAAGAGGTTAAAACATCTTCAACAGCACAAAAAATCAGGTTTTACCAAAAAGTCAATGTGCAAAATAGTCGTACAGGTTTCCTTCCTTCCAGGTAGCCTTTGCTTTTGTCCTACCTATTAGTGTGCTATCAAAATCAAGCAAACTTAAAGGGATTTGTTCAACATTGGTGGATAATAACAGCGGCATTCTTTGGAAATGGTCAGCAGTATTCTGCTCCCGCCCATCAGCGGTTTCCCTTTGCTCTGGTCCTAATGAGACATCAACATCAGCGCAGAAATGACTTTTGTTGTCTTGTGTGTATGTTTTATGGGTGTGTGTATAATAATGCAATGGGAATGTGGTGTGTGTGTGTGTGTGTGTGTAAGGCCCTGGAGGAGAGCCTCAGCCCATGACCGAGGTGGATCTCTTCATCTCCACCCAGAGAATCAAAGTCCTCAACGCCGACTCGCAGGTACTGGCTCCGACACACACCCCGTGCATGTGCTTTGTGTTCGGGTCGGATCGGGGTCTGCAGTCTCAGCCGGGTTCAGATAGAGATTGTTCCCAGTCTACACATTGGTTGCTTTTAGGAATATTATATCTTTTAAGGTATTAAAGTTTACTACACTGACACTTTTTTTGTTTGGGAAAACAGCAAAACCTGACTGAAAAGACCTCTGATGGTACATTTCAAATGTTAACTGTAAAATAAGTAAGAGACCGAGCTAAAAATGGTAATGGCCTAATAAGTTTAGATGTTGTGGAAAAGCATGTTGCTTGTAAACTGCTTAGTAGCTGGAAAAATACTATATATTCAGGGGAACAATTTAATTTCCGATGTGAACCCAAAGTTTCTTGGTTTGTTAGTTACTTGGCTACGATCCCCCCTCTCCCCCCCCTACCCGTTTAGATGATACAAAGACTGTGATGCTTCTCTCACCCCCAGGACACCATGATGGACCACCCTCTGCGGACCATCTCTTACATTGCCGACATCGGCAACATCGTGGTCCTGATGGCCCGGCGCAGGCAGCCTCGGCCCGACTCCCAGGAGAACGTGGAGGCCTCGGACGGGGGTCACGAGAGCAAGCGGCAGTACAAGATGATATGCCACGTGTTCGAGTCTGAGGATGTGAGTCCGACAGCAAAGTCACGCGGCGCCTTCGCTCGTCAAAAGGGCCGGCGCCTGAGTAACCATTCGATTATACACATAATGATCACGAGTTCACCCGTCCTGTCGTCTAGGCCCAGTTGATCGCCCAGTCCATCGGGCAGGCCTTCAGTGTGGCTTACCAGGAGTTCTTGCGAGCCAACGGCATTAACCCCGAGGACCTGAGCCAGAAGGAGTACAGTGACTTGCTCAACACTCAGGACATGTACAACGATGACCTCATCCACTTCTCTAAGTCGGAGAACTGCAAAGACGTAAGTCGCGCTGTGGATCGAGTCATTCGCACTTTCAAATACTGATTTGCCGTTTTCCTGTGTGCTGTGACCTCAGGTGTCCATAGAGAAAGCCAAGGGGGACATTCTGGGCGTGGTCATTGTGGAGAGCGGCTGGGGCTCCATCCTGCCCACTGTCATAATCGCCAACATGATGCACGCCGGGCCGGCTGAGCGCTCCGGCAGACTGAACATAGGGGACCAGATCATGTCCATTAATGGGACCAGTCTGGTGGGACTGCCACTGTGCACCTGCCAGAGCATCATCAAGGTACGTGTGCTCTATTGTTTTTAATCAGCTACATGTTGAACGAAGATACTATCAACTATATATTTAGAATATAAGTAAAATAATCTAATATAGCCCAACCCTAAACTGAGACCATTGCCTCTGTAGGGTCTGAAGAACCAGTCTGGGATCAAGCTAAACATTGTCAGATGTCCCCCAGTGACCACCGTACTCATCAGAAGGCCAGACCTCCGCTACCAGCTGGGCTTCAGTGTGCAGAACGGCATTGTGGGTAGCACTGCTATCACGCAGTTCATTTAATGCAAAACGGTTCTTCATTTTGTCACGTAGAAGACTTGATCCGTCCCTATCAACAGATCTGTAGCCTTATGCGCGGGGGCATCGCAGAGCGCGGCGGCGTCCGAGTGGGTCACCGCATCATCGAGATCAACGGCCAGAGCGTGGTGGCCACGCCCCACGAGAAAATAGTCAACATCCTGTCCAACGCCGTGGGAGAGGTGAGACTGGACACGCCCAGAGGCGGTGGCATCGATATATATCAGTGCTGAGAAACAAAGTCACAAACTCTGTAATCTTCGATATTGGTGCTTCTTGCCGTAGTGACGGTTTCCGGCGGGGTGTCCGGGTTGGCAAATGGCTGCTAGCGTTTGACTTGATCTCCAAGGGGGATCACTGTTGACGATTCCATGACCCGAGTGCTTTGTTCTGTCTCGCTCAGATCCACATGAAGACGATGCCGGCAGCCATGTACCGCCTGCTGACCGCCCAGGAGCAACCCGTTTACATTTGACAAGACAAAGCTCTGACCCCCCCGGACCACTCACCCCTCTCCCCCCTTTATCCACAGTAGTGAGTTGTTAGCATGATGATTCTGTTGCTCAGTTGCTCTACAAGAACGTAGACATCCAACCATCCATCTGCTGTCACTGGCTCTTACTTTGGAGACCTGTACAATTGGTAAAAGAGCGTTCGGACATGATGCATTCAGACACCCAAAAGAGAACAAAAAGATCCCGGTTCACTGTTATTGTTAAAAACAAACATGGTGAAAACAATTCTTTAATGTAGCTTACATTTTCCAGCCACTGAGACAATTTTGGTCATTGTTAAATAAGAAGAGTGAGAACTTCTTACACACTAGAAACCTTAATGAGCGGGAACAGAAGCCTGATTGTGAAATTCATCTGCCCATTCGACCCCTGACCCCTGACCCCTGACCCCTGACTGTACCTTCGGCCATGCCGCTATTTCACTGTCAGGCCTTTGCCTGTGTCTTGTTGTCTGTTTTTCATGCTGTCGCTCCATCTTTCGGGCCGAGCTTGGCTTCCTTTTCAGCTCTCCCTTCTCTCTGCTGTTACCCACTCCGAATACTGCACCCCGGGCCCTTTGCACCACCCAGGGCTCTCCACAGGAGGGTGTGTGGCTCAATCCTGCTGAAATTATTTCACATTCCAACTCCTTTTTTTGCACGTCATATTTCCCGCTGAAACGATAGCCGCTGTCTCCGTTTTGGCTTTCGTTGCCGTCTCTTCTGTACGTTGCACTAGCAGGAGCTCTGTTCCCTTACAGTGTTCAACCAGCTTGACTCACACGGGACCCCACCTAGGTCCAGGTTTGTTGCACAAACTGCATGGTTTAAATAATCCCAGGCTATTATCGTCAACATCTGTGACGAGAGACTAGAAGAGGGGAACGATAATCGCTGATATATCAGCATGAAGTTGAACCCCACTTGATTATTCGTAATAAGCAAAACAACCGTTGGCCATGTTGGGGCGGGGGCCGGGTCCAGCACGTCGTCCTTCCGCTACCGCCGTCTTGCTGCTCGATGCTGTGCAGAGAGGCAGCTTGCGGCATAGTTTGCTGGAACCACCAACGTTAAACGGGAGCTGGATGAAACGATAAAACCAGACTCATCCTCACTTGTCAGATTGCAAACTGGAAACCAGATTCCAACCAGTGTGTATTCCACCAATTGTTTTCAATGGCAAACCTGGGTGTGTATTTTGCCCCGGAAGTACGACGTGTATGACCTGATGCTAACATCTAATACTATCAGAATAACGGAATACCTCGCTATTTGAATCCGATCAACAATCCACTAAAGGCTTTTAAACTCCATTTGCACCTCTTTAAATGTTTTCACTCTGTTGTCTTTGTCATGACTACTTACCCGCAGAACGCAAATAATACACAGCAAAGAAATGGCAGAGTTTTTGTAAAGGCAAACAGTGGTGGTGCAGAACGTTCCTCATCGTGTACAACAACGCAGAGACTTTATGACTTCTTCCAACCTTGATGAACCCAGCACAGACCAGATCCCACTTCCTCCGAAGTTCCTTTCACAATAAAAAGAACTACACACCCAAAGGAAACACGGAGAGTAGCGTTAGTCTGTCTAAGTGTACCTTAGTTAGACTAATTCTCTAATTCACACGGGTGTCAACATGATTCCGGTGATCTGTCCTCTTCCTGCCCAAATCAAGTCTTCAACCGTCGCAAATTGTCATACTAGTATGTAAAGTTTATGAAGTGAAAAAATATTTTGCATTTAGGAGGCGTCATCATTCCCTGGTGTTTAAAGGAGAATAAACCCCAAAAAACGCCTATTTTGACATCACCTCTTCCTGGTCTATTCCAATGACCTTTGTGACCCCTGACCTTGGTTTGGTGACTTCAGGCTCGCAGGCAAACACCACCTTGTTGTGCTTTTCATCTCTTTCTTTATCTAACTGGTATTATTGGTTTTGGCAGTTGTAGAATAATTGGACCTTTTCAAAAACACCAATCTATGAATTATCAATAGTTTAAAAAGATGAATCCTTGCATTGGAATTCAAGTGAAATAACGGCATTATCGGTCCATTATACCTTTACATAAAGATGGAAAGGTGACGCTTTTTTATCTTCTTTCTCCAATTTTTCTAATTTGAATGTTTTGGGGGAATGTTTTTTTTTGTGTATTCTTACACAAAATCACATTTGAATGTTGCTTATAATAACTGCCTAACAATGACATCATGGCTGTCCCCATAAATGACTGTTCTGATGATTGACATGATTTAGCCCATTTAATAGTACCACAAACATTTTCAGCCATTTTCTAAATATATACTTTTATTAATATCGCTCCTGGAAATGTTGTGAAAATACTTGATTAGCAACAACAAGTCACCAGCCGCAACCTTCTTTCATCCGTTTTCACAGATAAAAAAGATTACAAGAATGATTTTCTTTCCACTTGTCTCTCAGGGCTTCGGTACGAATCAACATGAACTCACAATAAGTAACGAGGGCTCTTTGGAGAAGAGAGAATGTGAATTACTGTGAATGTTTTGGTTTGTGTGCATCCTTGAAGATGCAAAGTACGTTTTGGTTCAAACAGATGCATCAACTATTACTGAAGGTGAATTATAAACCTTAAAAAGATCTGAGTTGTCCCTTCTGAAGAAGATGCCGTTCTAATAATAATATATAATATTGTGTCTTTTGGCACTGGTTGATTGTCTTTGGCTATTAGGTTCTGCATATTTATTCTACTCAAACATTTAAGCTACCTGTAGGGATTAATTGATTAAGCTGAAGATGTGTACATTTATTGCAGCCACATAATGCTCTATGTCAAATATAGGTGAGAAATATGAAAAAGATGGTGACAGCATGTCCTTCTTCGCACAAACAACAACAATATGACCTTTGACTTCACGTGACTGGTGCTTACTGGTTTCTTTTGCACTATAAGTAAACAAGTCAAAGTCTTCATGAGCAACCTAATCTTCAAAGGACTTAAGACTCCTTCTGAAGGCCGTTCAGGTCGTTTCTGGAGCCTCTCTTTCCAATCGACTTGTCTTTGAACCGAACGGCGCCCCCTCTGCCCGCCTGTGAATGTATCCGCCCACACCGACCCCCCCAGATTCCAAAAACCCACCGCTTATTCCCACGTTGTGACCCCATCAACGGATCTCATCTTGGCCTTACTGCTATTACTTCTTATGATGTTTGGGCTGACAGTGTGGGGGCAACAGGGGCAACAGGGGCAACAGCAGCCATTTGTGGGGACCTTCTCTGGAGCCACGCGCTTCATGCTCTACCGTTCTTACTGCTTGTGTGGTGTGTGCGTGGCGTGCGATTACAACCAATGTACTCCGTGTTCAAACAAAAACCAGCTGGATATATAAAATACACCCGTAGATGAACTATATAGACGACTCCGTAAAGGTACGTAGGTTTCTGGATGTGGAATGTAGGAAAGCTGGTTGTGTGTGGAATGACATTTGTGTGTACATATATACAGCTAGAGCACAAGATCATTTAAAGTGCGTGCGTGTGATATTTTCCCTCCATAGTGCGTCAGAGACTGTAGGCTAGTGTGACACGACGAAGCCAACCAAGGCAACGAGACCTGGACGCTGCCGCCGGGTTTGGCAACAAGTATTTATAAGTGCACTCATTTTGAATGTAACTGAAACGTTAACTCTCAATGTGTCTGAAGATTAAAAGTAACAAAAAAAAAACTACAATAAAAATACCATTTCTGTAATGCAGCAGCGATGTTTATTTATCTGCTCGCTTTCTTTTATTTCTGTGATGTTCTAGCTATTGGCGCTACATTCCTGTACCAGAGCCAGAATGTTTGTAACAGTATTTACAACAATAAACAAGTTGCAGAAAGACTCTGGACTGCTGATCCTCATTGAGCACATTTAGTGAGAAACATCTCTTATTAGTTGGACTGAACATCGGAGGCAATTCTGACATTTTTAAAGCTACAAAATCATTACTTTCAAATCTCACAACAAGAAAATTTGGGGGATTAAATCCGTCACGTTGGTGCAGACAATGACTTTCTTTTATTACTGTGCCTCTTTAGATGCCTCTTTTGGACACGATATACTGACACGGTCTCCTGGCAGTTTATGTAATAGTAACAAAATGCAGTATATTGGTGTCAACCACATGAATGCATCATCAAATCATCAGGTTTTGTTTCTTTTAGGGAGCAATACTACTACTAAGAGAAGCAAGGTCATGCTTTTATGAAACAAATCCACTTTGGTTTGGTTTAGGAAAAGCTCTTCTAAGTGTAGCCAGTGAGGAAATGTCCCTCCTGAGATGCTGTAGGTTCAGGCCCCTCCTACTTCCTGGTTCGCCGATTAGTCGGGGTATAAAGCAGGGGTCTCAAACGCATTTCAGGTGCGCAGGTTTCCTCCTGTGGGGGTTGGCTGCAGAAGGACCACTGGAAAGAGTTGAATGCCAGACGGTAAAATCAAGTGGATAATGGCTGAGGACTCAGACGGTTGTTTATTGACGGTGATGAAATGTTATAGGAAGAAGTTATGAAAAAGACGAAAGACAGGCAAAGATCAGGAAGCAGTGATGAACCTGTAGAGACGAGGCTGATGGCGGATCTATGAACGCTAGATTGCAGGATGAAGTTTGGAAAGTAATTATAGTATTTGATCAAAAAGGACCAGATTTACACCCGATACATATTACAAAGGCAATAGAGAAGGAAATAGGTAAGATTATTCACGCATGTTTCATGGGGAATGGGAGAATCCTGATGTTTGCAATATCTGAAGAACAACAAAACAACATTCTTAAGAAAGCAACTCTTAACAACGTTAGGATAACGTCACACATTCTAGGTACTACAGCTAAGGCAAGATGAGTCTTATCAGGAATCCCAACTTCAGCCTCCATTGAAGAGATAAAGAAAAGTTTGCAGCAATATGAATTAGTGGAAATTAATTGATGAATGGAAAGGAGAAAACTTAAAGCTTGTCTGTCTTGTTACGTTTTAAGGAGAGCTGCTTATTAGAGTTCAAATGGGATATATATCCCACCTGGTACGACAGTATGTCCCACCTCCACTAAGATGTTACGAATGCAAAGATTTGGACATGTAGCGGCTCAATGCAGAGGAAAATCTACATGTGCTAAATGTGGAGGAGAACACCATCCATCCATCCATCGTCCAACCGCTTATCCTGCACACAGGGTCGCGGGGGGGCTGGAGTCCATCCCAGCCAACTTCGGGCGATAGACAGGGTACATCCTGGATTGGTCGCCAGCCAATTGCAGGGCTACACAGAGACACACAACCATTCACACATCTACGGGCAATTTAGAGTCACCAATTAACCTGATCCCCAGAGCATGTCTTTGGACTGTGGGAGGAAGCCGGAGAACCCGGAGAGAACCCACGCAGACACGGGGAGAACATGCAGACTCCACACAGAAAGGCCACTGGGCGGAATCGAACCCAGGACCTTCTTGCTGTGAGGCGACAGTGCTAACCACCACGCCACCGTGCCGCCCACGGAGGAGAACACGAATATGACAAATATGGGACTGATGCTGCAATTGCAGAGGTGATCATAGTGCGGCATATGGTGCATGTGAGAAAGAAAAAGGAGCCAGGGAAGCTCCGAAATATAAGATAACAAACAAGCGGCTTATGTTGAGGATCTTAAGGAGATTGAGAATGAGAAGAAAAATATTAGGCCAGATGTTCCTTCCTGTATACCAGAGCAATCTACACTGAAATCATATACCAGCTGGTCAAATAGAAGCAGAATGAAGGATCAGAATCCCCTAAAAGGAAGAACTCAGCAGGTCAGTAGACCTGGTATCTCTGACTT